GAAAGAAATATTATAGAAAAAGATTACAAACATAATTTTTTTCTTTTGGATGAAGGAAATGTTAGAATATTTATTTATTTATGAATTAACATTAATTAATAAGCCCAAATAGATTGGTCTTTATGATCTTGTGTGAACCATGATAGGTGGACCACACAAGTGAGTCCAATGGGCAGAGGCCCAACTCACAGCCCAGTAGCTGTCAGTTATTCCCTATCTCTTAAATAAAGCGGTTATTGATCTGATCTTTATAAGTCGATTAGTCGATAACCGCATAGACATAACTCATTCTTTACTACTCCATTATCTCTGCACTCTCTGAAGATTCTGGGAACTTGTGAGTTGTGCACCTGTCTACACTCAAGATAATCGAGCCTTCTCAAGCGTTCATGGATTCTTCAGGTACGCATACATTACCTTACTTATTCATATGAATTGAGATATACAAAATTCAACACGTCGTATCAGAGCCTGGTTACAAATATCAATCTGTATGTCTCAATTCATTATTTATATTATGCGTACGTTATGAATTAATAAAATTCATTTATGAGCATGTTCAGATTTTATTAACGTGCTTAATAATTTCCCTTCCATTATTCTTTACCGTGTATGAGATTTACTGTGTAATTGTGTATTTCCATGTGACTCTCTTCCTTCTCTTCCCTTTCATTTTTTTTCAACGCAAAAGACGGGACGGAATTCGATGCTTCTGCCATCAGGTCATCGGAAATGAAGTTGTTGGTGCGTCGTCTGCAACTTCGTTCTTCGCCGCTGCTCGCCTGCTCCAGGTCATCGGTGACGTCCTCCCCTCTTCCTCCGTCTGCAGCTTCGTTCTTCGCCGCTACTCGCCTGCTCCAGGTCGCCGGCAACTTCCTCCCCTCTTCCTCATCTCTTACGCAGCTGGACAGACCCAGGGACAGGGTCAGTAACCGAATCCTAGGGATCCGGTTCCATGAGTTTTGGGCCCATTTTCATATGGGCCCAGATCTTTGATTAAAAAAAAAGGGTGGAGGCACGAACAGGGTCAAAAACCGGATCCTAGGGATCCGGTTTCATGGAGTGTTGGGCCCAAATTTTTTTTGGGCCCAGACCTGATTTAAAAAAAAACTGAAAAAGGGAAATGGGCCATGTTCACTTGAAGAAACTAATTCTGGGCCCAAACCGTATTAGCCCAGATCAGTGTCAAAAAAAATTATTGTTTCTGTTAATTATGTTTTGGCCCCAGACTAGAATTACCTCCTATGTCCCATAATTTATCGTATTTACTCCGTGACCCTAACAGATTTCTGGAATTACATTTTAGTCCCTTAACTTCCAGAATAACGTTTTGACACAAATCTCCTCCAAAATTACCTATTTACCCCTGGACACCTTTTAAAATTTCACTTAAGTCTCAAATTTGTTCCTTAATTCTCAAAAGATCCAAGGACTTTGAAATTATTTTGTTTTGTCCTAAGGTCATAAAATTTATGACTTTGTGAATTATTGATAATGCTTAAGGTCTTGTAACATTGATAATGGACATATCCCATAGGTGTGACATTATTGATGCGATTTTGATGGTTGGTTTTGAGGATAGGCTAATAGCACTCCTTTAATGTGTTAGATATTTGTTGTACCCTATAGATATAGAAATGTTTAATGCATTATTTTGTATGGACTTTTGTATGAGTTAGATCTTTATGGTATGTGAGCCTTCTTGGTGCATGATTATAGTTGCATAATTGATAATCGCTTGTTGGGAATTATGTTTTATAATTATGTTATGCACACATAATTAATATTTCCCATTTTCTGTTTTACAATTTCAGTTTCTACTTTTACGCAACTATCCTTTATGAAGGCTCTCAATGGGACTAACTATGATGATTGGAAAGAGTCCCTCAATATGTATCTGACCATTTCTGAGAAAGATTTAGCTCTGAGAGAACCCAAGCCTGCGGATCTCTCTTCCGAGTCCAGTGCTTCTGAAATGGCCTTCCATAAACAATGGAGTGAGTCCAACTAGATCTGTCTAGCGATCATTAAGTACACAATTGAAAAGGAAATCAGGGACAGCATTCCTGAAAAGGATACTGCAGTGGAATACTTGAAAGCTGTTAGTAACAAATACAAGAAGCTTGACAAGACTTAAAAGAACTACTATTTGTCACTTCTTGACAATACTCGATATGATAGAGTTTCTGGTGTCAGGGAACATATTTTGAAGCTTGTTCATTACTATAACAAGCTTAAATCATATGGAATTGACTTGGGTGAAAGTACCTTGGTTTACCGTGTTCTTCAATCACTACCATCGGAGTACGCATTATTAGGACTTTATACAACTCACAAGAAGCTGAATGGTTTGTTGACCAGATGATATCAATAGTCACTCAAGAAGAGGAAGCTATAAAGAAGAATTCCTCTCACTCAATAAACTATGTTTCTCATGGCTTTAGCAGTAAATTTGGAGGGTCATATAAGAAAAAAGGGAAGAAGTATGAGGCCCCTAAGCCTAATAATCCAACTTTTAAGAAGGATGGTGATAAGAGTGAGAAGTCAAGAAAGAAACCTTTTAAGGGGTTATGCAATTATTGCAAGAAACCGGGTCACATTAAAGCTAATTGCTTTAAACTGAAGAACAAATAAGAAAGTGAAGGTACAATTCTTCAAACTGCCCCTCTAGCTCTAGTTTGTTTTGAATCTAACACCATTGAAACTTCCTTTGACTCATGGTGGCTGGATTCTGGTGCCACTGTACATGTTATGAATTCTCTATAAGGGCTAAGAAACCAGAAGGTTCCAAGTGAGGCACAGAAGTCAGTCTTTGACATAGCAAGGAGCAAGGCATCAGTTGAAAGCATTAGAACCATTTCTTTGTATTTAAATTCTGGTCATGTTTTACATTTGAACAACGTTGTTTATGTACCTTCTGTGAAGAGGAATTTAATTTCAACTTCTGCATTGGATATTTGTGGCTATTCATTCTTTCAAGGAAATGGGAAAATTGACATTTGTTTTGATTCCATTAATGTTGGTTTCACTTCCTTGATATATGGTTTATATCAATTAAATGATTGGTCACTTGAACTTCCTAATCTCCATATTAATGCTGTCATTGGGCATAAACGACAAAAGCCCAATGATAATTCCTCCATGTTATGGTATCGTCATTTGGATCACATTTCTAGAGAGAGATTGGAATGCATGGCCAAGCAAGGTGTCTTATAAAACCTTAATTTCTCAGATTTTGAGACTTGTGTTGACTCTATAAAGGAAAAATTCCCTGCTAGAGCTAGAACCAAAGGGGCAAAGAGGTCTGAAAATACTTTAGACCTAATCTATACTGACATATGTGGACCTATCACACCTCTGGCTATGGGTGGTTTTAGATATTTTATCACCTTCATAGATGATTACTCTCGTCATGGATGGATTGAACTCTTGCGTGAAAAAGGCAAGTCTCTTAATGCATTCAAGACCTTTAAAGCAGCAGTCGAATTGAAATCTGGCAAGTTGATCAAATGTGTGAGATCTGATAGAGGAGAAGAATTTTATGGGAGATATACTGAGACTGGCAGGAACCCTGGGCCATTCGCTTTATACCTTCAAGAGCATGGCATTGAAGCTCAGTATACTATGCTTGGTACCCCGCAGCAGAATGGGGTTGTAGAAAGGAAAAATCATACTCTTATGGATATGGTTAGAAGCATGACCAGTCACTCCTCATTGCTGAAATTCTTGTGGGGTGATGCACTTAAAATCACTATTTATATTTTGAATCAAGTTCCTAGCAAGTCAATTCCAAAGACTCCATACGAGTTGTATTTTGGAAGGACTCCTACGCTAAAACATATGCGAGTTTGGGGTTGTAAAGTACAGGTAAAACCTTACAATCCACAATAGATGAAGCTTGATGCTAAAACTGTTGATGGTTTCTTTATTGTCTATTGCATCGAATCTCATGGGTATAGATTCTGTTGTCCAAATCACACTACTTGGGTAACTAAATCTGATCGAGCTTATTTCTTTGAAGATGCCTTAGACAGTGGGAGCTCTATGCCTAGGCATATTACTTTACATGATGAAAACAGTATTTTGCCTATGTCTATCTTGACAACCCCTCATGTTAACAAAAATAATGCCGGGATGAAGCTGAAGATGAACCACCTTTAAAGGGTGATGGGGATTTGGTTGTTGAACTAAGACGGTCCCAAAGGGTTCGTAGGTCTGCTATTCTAGATGATTACATGGTGTATTTGTAGGAATTTGATTCAGATGCTATTGATAGTTTAGACCCAATATCTTACCAAAAGGCTATTTCTAGCTCGTATTCTTCTAAATGGTTGGAGGCTATGAGTGAAGAAATCGCCTCAATGTACCACAATCACGTATGGGAGCTTGTAGAGCTACTAAAGGGTTTTAAACCAGTGGGCTGCAAGTGGGTCTTTAAAACAAAACGAGGAGCTAGAGGTGAAATTGATAGATACAAAGCCAGACTTGTAGCGAAGGGCTACAACCAGAAAGAAGGTATTGATTACACAGAGACCTTCTCTCTGGTATCCACCAAAGATGCTTTAGAGTGGTAATGGCTTTAGTTGCACAATTTAATATTGATCTTCACCAGATGGATGTCAAGACTGCGTTCTTGAATGGCGATTTGTATAAAGAAGTCTACATGACACAACCTAATGGTTTTATTGAATCTGGTAAAGAACATCTAGTGTGTAGATTGAAGAGATCCATCTATAGGCTAAAACAGGCCTCTAGGCAGTGGTATCTAAAGTTTGATGAAGTTATTACCTCGCTCGGTTTTGTTGAGAATGTCTCAGATCAGTGTATCTATTAAAAGTTTGATGGGAACAATTTTGCCATTCTTGTTCTCTATGTTGATGATATCTTGTTAGCCAGCAAATCAATGAATTTCCTCAATGAGATAAAACACCTATTGTCTTGCCATTTTGACATGAAGGACATGGGTGAAGCCTCCTTCATTCTTAGGATACAGATTCATCATGATAGATCTCGTGGTATTCTTGATTTATCACAAACCACTTATATTGAGCAGGTACTTAAGAGATTCAGAATGGATTCATGTTCTCCCTCACCTGCTCTTATTCAGAAAGGTGAGCTATTGTCAGAGTTACAATATCTCAAGGATGATAAGAAGAGGGCTGAAATAAGAAAGATACCATATGCTTCTGTTGTCGGTAGCCTTATATATGTTCAAGTGTGTACTCGACCAGATATAGCCTTTGCCATTTGAGTGCTGGGTCGATACTTAAATGATCCAGGTCTGGATCATTGGAAGACTACTAAGAAAGTTATGAGGTTTTTTCAAGGTGCAAAGAATTACATGTTGACTTACAGAAGGTCAACTTCTCTTGAAGTTGTTAGGTATTCTGATTATGACTTTAAAGGATTAGAAGATCTTGAAATTGTTGGCTTTTCAGATTCAGATTTTACCTCTTGTCTGGATGATCATAAATCCACGACCGGCTATATTTTCATGTTGTCTGAAGGAGCTGTCTCTTGGAAAAGTGTGAAACAGACACTTACAGCACTTTCATCTATGGAAGTTGACTCTATTGCTTGTTTTGAGACTACACGTCACGCTATATGGTTGAGGAAGTTGATATCTGGCGTGCGCCTAATTGAGTCAATATTACGTCCTCTAACCATTTATTGGGATAACAAATCTGCAGTATACTATGCTAACAACCACATAAATTCTAGTGGTACAAAGCATTTTGATATCAAACTTATGTTTGTGAAAGAGAAAATTGTAGTCTCAAACTCGTGTGGTACACATTCCTGGCATGTAGATGCTTGCAGATCCGCTGACCAAGGGCTTACCTGTAGAAGTTTTTCAAAATCATGTAACTTGTATGGGTATTATGAAATCCTTTGATGCCCTAGTTTAGTGGGAGTTTGAGAACCTTTTGTGTTGCAATTTCTCTTTAGGCTTTGTTTTTCTTCTGTGAGTTATATTCAGTTCAGTTAGATGCATCAATATCATTTGTATCCCTATAAGATTCAATGATTCTATTGTGGTACGCTATGCATGTCACTTGTTTTCTCATAGGAATTAGTAATTTATATTGTTATCTTACTGAGCTGTGTTTGAAATAAAATTTTGTGTTTTATTCAGATTATGAGATATCATATCACTTGTTTCCCTATAGGATCCAGTGATTTTGTGGAGTTTCATTTTCTGAATCTTGTTTGTGGTTTGTTTATACAACTTGCTTAATTAATGCAATCCAAGTGAGAGATTGTTAGACTATTTATTTATTTATGGATTAACATTAATTAATAAGCCCAAATAGATTGGTCTTTATGATCTTGTGTGGACCGTGATAGGTGGACCACACAAGTGAGCCCAATAGGCAGAGGCCCAACCCACAGCCCAGTAGCTGTCAGTTATTCCCTATCTCTTAACTGACTGAGTCAAAGATAATGGAATATTTTTTTATTTAATTATTAAATGAAGCGGTTACTGATTTGATTCTTATAAGTCGATCAGTCAATAACCGCATAGACACAACTCATTCTCTACTACTCCATTATCTCTGTACTCTCTGAAGACTCTGGGGACCTATGGGTTGTGCACCTATCTACACTCGAGGTAATCGAGCCTTTTCAAGCGTTCATGGATTCTTCAGGTACGCATACATTACCTTACTTATTCATATGAATTGAGATATACAAAATTCAACAGGAAATTAATCTAATTAAGGTCAATTCAAATAATAAACTAAACGATTTGCAAAAGATAGGACATGTAACTATCTTCTTTTTGAAGCTAAGCAATGTTCTCACATTTCATATTTTAAATTCTTAGTTTGATTTTACATAACCCCCACTTAATTTGGATGTGGTCTGAGCTGCCTTGTGTGTGTATTCTAAAATTTAGGAGAAATTCTAATATGAATATAACAATAAGTCTTATTTCACTAGGTGGGGTCTGCTATATGAATTACATGACACTATTGTGCTCCATCATTAACAAGCTTTAAATAATAATGTTAACTAAGAGGTTTCATTCAACAACTTTTATAAGTGTTCTCTTTAATTTTCACCTACCCGTCTTTATAGAACTTAAGATTATCTGTTTTACTCTCCACTTGAATGTTTCTCATGTTCTTCTCTGTACATATCCAAACTTTTTTAAATAATTTTTTATCATTTTTCCCTTAACAAATGCTACACCCACTTTTTTCATATATGTTCATTTTGAATTTTATCTTTTTATATATGCCCACACGTTCATATCAACATTTTCATATCTGCTATTCCAACTTTATGCCCCTTTCTATTTTTTTTAAAGCCTAACATTCTAATATGAATATAATAGGTAATCTTATTTATAATATACTTCATATAAAAAAAATTAGGCAATATAAAATTAGGGGTGCCCATGGGATGGGATGGGAACAGGACACCTTTGTCCCGTGTACCATCCCAAAAGAAAGATTGAGACTAAATTTTTGTCTCGTGTCCCATCCCATTAGGAATCAGGACAGGATGGGACATGAGACGTCCTACCATCTCGATAAATTGGCCAATGTCGAAAATAGATCTGGATAATAACATTTATTAAAATTTTAAATCACATAATTTATTAAGTTTAAAATCAAAACAATACAAGTACATAAATCACAATAATTTAAAGTTAATTATTAAATTACATTGATCACAACTATACATTATAATAGCAATTATAACTAATCTCTAGGTTATAAGAGCAACAACAACATACAAGCCAAGCACAACATCAAATCATTATTCTTCTACTTTAGTTAAGATGTGCTAAGCCAATTACTCTTTCAAAAATAAAGCAAGAAATATGATATAAATAAAAGTTATTAAATAGATAGACATAAGAATAAATTGTATTAATATAATTAATATATTATAAAGAAAGATATCGCCCTGTTTACTTTATATTACTAAAATTTTCAATATAAAAAACTTTATTTTTAAATAAGAATTGCATGTATTGAAATTATAATTGATATAATTAATACAAGTATAAATTATATTAATATATTTAATGTATATTTTTAAAACAAAAATAATATGTATATATAAAATATTCGATATGAGAAGGATGTTCCGATAGTAATCCTGTGTCCCATCCTGTCTTAAAACTCTTTCCCATCTCGTCCTGCAAAATCCTGTCTCCATTATTTTTGGGTTGGGATGGGAACCATCCCGATTATATCGAGACGGTATTGGGCCAATCGGGACAGGTACAAGTAGAACACCTTTATATAAAATAAGACCTATTCTACAAAATTTTCTTTTTATTAAATCAAAAAATTCTCTCCTTTTCCTTTTTGCACAGTCAAATTCGTTCTCTTATAAATATTTTATTTTATTTTGATAATTGAGAACCGTTCAGTAGTTTCCTAGTCATTTGCTTGTATCTCACTTCATAGACTGTCATGGTGGGTTTGTCCTCTTCTCTAATTCCTTGTATTTGAAATTCAAATATTGTGTTACATTCAAAGTAATCATCACTTTCCTCTTCTAAATTTAGGTCTCCTTCAAAACTCGATTTGCACTACTTTAATGTTCTTCCATGTAGACCCGTTCAAAAATACATAAACTTTTTGCCATGCTGAATTGCTGATATTTTAGATATAATTAATATTCATTTTATAAGAATTTTCTAATTTTGCCTAAAAAAATCGACTTTGCCCTTCTAAAACACAACACTCTAATTTAGATCTGTATTTTCCTTTGTTGTCCTCCAATATTGCTTCTGTTTGTCTCCTTTAATATTTTAAAACCTTAAATACAAATTTTTTAAAAATATTATTATTTTTATATTGATTATAAAAGTAAATTTTAGAAAAAAAATTGTAAAAAAATTAAATGTTTCTTGGAAATCCTTGTCGTAAATATTATTCATTCTTATTTTGCGGATAAACGTTTTTAATTTTAATCATGCGCTTATGCAATTTAAGAAAACACTAGTAAAATAATTTGGAATATGACATTTTAATACGATTTTTGCACAGTCAAATTCGTTCTCTTATAAATATTTTATTTTATTTTGGTAATTGAGAACCGCACATCAGTATTCAGTAGTTTCCTAGTCATCCGCTTGTATCTCACTTCATAGACTGTCATGGTGGGTTTGTCCTCTTCTCTAATTCCTTGTATTTGAAATTCAAATATTGTTTTACATTCAAAGTAATCATCACTTTCCTCTTCTAAATTTAGGTCTCCTTCAGAACCTGATTTGCACTGCTTTAATGTTCTTCCATGCAGACCTGTTCAAAAATACATAAACTTTTTGCAATCCTGAATTGCTGATATTTTAGATATAATTAATATTCATTTTATAAGAATTTTCTAATTTTGCCTAAAAAAATCGACTTTGCCCTTCTAAAACACAACACTCTAATTTAGATCTGTATTTTCCTTTGTTTTCCTCCAATATTGCTTCTGTTTGGCTCCTTTAATATTTTAAAACCTTAAATACAAATTTTTTAAAAATATTATTATTTTTATATTGATTATAAAAGTAAATTTTAGAAAAAAATTTAAAAAAAAATAAAATGTTTCTTGTAAGTCCTTATCATAAATATTATTTATTCTTATTTTGTGGATAAATGTTTTTAATTTTAATCATGCTCTTAATTATGGAATTTAAGAAAACACTAGTAAAATAATTTGAAATATGACTTTTTAATAGATTATTTCGTTATCTGTATCTATTAGTAGATTTTCATATATCATTATATAAAAGATTACCAATAAATTTTATTCAGATAAAAATAATATGATTTTAATAACTGAGGCGTACTTATAAATTATCAAATATACTTTTTTACATTAAATCATTCAAGTTTATTTTAATATGTTTATATTTCAGAAATTTTTAATTATGATTTTTTTTAATTTTGTAAAATCAATTATTATTTTATTTATTCATGTCCAATTTATTATTATTTTTGATAACGCTAAAGCACAGAATAAGATACCATTCATGACCCAAGAAAAAGTACGATAACATTTGTTCTTATTCAAGAAATAGGTAGGAAAAATGCAAAAAAGTACGGTAACATTTGTTGTTATTCAAGAAAAAAGATAGGAAAAATGCAAGTTCAGTTCTAAAAAAGTTAAGGAACAATTAATGATTGCAAATAATACATTTAAATTTTAAATGAAACCTCAATTTACAATTAAGATTTCTTTTTGCAACTATTTGAATTAATATTTACAATTCATTTTTAAAAAAAAATTATTGAGAACTTAACTGTCACTAATTTTATCTTTCAAAACTTTTGTCATTCTCCACAAAAAAAATATTTAGAACATTGGTACCGCCTCTGAAGGAGTCCGGTCTTATTTATAAGGAAGTGATAGAGATTTTTTTGGCCATACTGATAAGTCATGCCATTAAATTTTCTTCACAAGTTTTTCCTTTTACCTCCTATTAAATATTGATGAGAAGAAATACCTTATTAAAGTATATATACAGTGAAAATGGTGCAGTGGTTGGGAAGTAGGGAATCCTCATTGTGCATTTTATCTAATGGTCGAGGAAAGAGACGTGCGTAAAAAAGTTATTTATAAAATTAATTTTTTTAATAAATCTGTTTTATACCTAATCTAGAGATATTGATTTAATTTGGATTGTCCAAATTTAATAAATTTGTTTTATCACTACTCTCTAACATTTATAATTTTTTTAAAATTTTTTTTCTGAAAAGTATCAATTAGGGCATTATTTTTATTTTTAATATTAAATCTGGACAATCCAAAATACATCTAGGTAATTAATTTATAAAAATTAAAAAATATTTAATATTTAATTGGACCATTCAGATTAAATCTATACTGTCTAGATTGGTAATTAGCCAATTTATTTAAAATATTTATTTTTATGATCTATATAATTTTTATAAATTATAAAAAAAATTAATGAACTTGATTGTGTGATTTGCATATGAGAAACTATTTTATGCACCTCTCTTTTTCCAACAATTGAATAAAATGCAAGGTGAGGATTGCCCCACTTCCCAATCACTGCACCATTTTCTGTATGTATAATCCGTCCCCACATTTAATATGGACAAAATTAAAAGCTTATTAAATTTTTAGACTTAATAAGTTTCAAAATTTTCTTTACTTCCCATAAAATACATGAGAAACGACTTACTATAGAATACAAACACAAGAGGAAGGAGTATGATATTAGCTATGTTTAAGTTCAAAAAGGGAACTAGAATAGCGTTGATGACTTGACACATAATTCTGCTCCTCAAGAACGGCACCATGACATTTTACGGACATGAAATTCCAATACAGTGTTTTCTGTTCATTTGCGTGTATCTCACTTCGTAGATTTTTGGATTATTCTTGTAGTCTCCCTTGACTTGTTCCATTCAAAATACGGTGTTTGAATCCATCGATTAGTCTTTCCATCCTCCACTCATAGATTAGTGAAGTTTTCGTGATAACTTCATTTTCAGTATTTTTTTTCCTTCCAAGTGGACCCCATTTCTCAGTATATTTCAGTAGACACGCAAATAAAGTGATTCACAAAGCATCTATAAAATGATGACTTGATTATGGCAAAATCCATCATCAGCTACGGTTTGTTTCCCATATTTATCTCCAAAGAATATTCCAATGAGAAATAACTGCTCATGGATTTTCTTGATATTGTCCCTCCACTTCATAAACTTGATCAGTTTCAATATCTTTCAAGTGACTGGTCATTGCCTTATCGGCCATCAAGAATCTGCCTTGCTTCATTTGAAGAATAGTCTCACTTTCAACCCTGCCAACTCCCAAAAATTGGTTCATTGGAACCAAAGTGACGATTGTTGTCGATGGAATGGAGTAACATGCAACAAGAAGGGATTTGTTATAGTTTTGGACCTGAGTGAAGAATCTATCTCTGGGGGAGTTGATAATGCTAGCGGTCTCTTCAACTTACAGCATCTACAAGACTTGAACTTGGCCTACAATGACTTCCATTCATCGATTCCTTTGGAGTTTCACAAATTGAAGAACTTGAGGCATCTAAATTTATCAAATGCTGGCTTTGAGGGTCAGATTCCAATTGCAGTCTCTCAATTAACAAATCTAGTTTCTCTGGATCTGTCATCCAACAACTTCACAGGCCGTCTTCCATATTTCAACATGTCCAAGAACCTCAAGTATCTATCTGTTTCTCTTAATCACTTGACAGGTGAAATTTTATCATCTCATTTTGAAAGTCTTGACAATCTCACCACCATTGATTTAGTAGGAAATTCCTTTTACAGAAGAGTTCCTTCATGTCTCTTTGCACTTCCATCTCTGAGAGAACTTATGCTTTCTCATAATAGATTTGAGGGTGTATTGGATGAATTCCCAAATGCATCATTCTCCTCATTAGAGATCCTTGATCTTAGTGGGAATAATCTAGAAGGGCCTATTCCCTTGTCCATCTTTCAATTTAGAAGGCTTAGTTTTCTCCAACTTTCCTCAAATAAGTTCAATGGCACTATGCATTTGGATGCTGTGAGAAAGATGGAAAATTTGGTCACACTAGGCGTTAATCACAACAACCTGTCAGTTGATACAACTTTGAGGGATAACTCTGATGACTTGTTAACATTTCCCAGATTGAGTCAGCTCATGTTAGCTTCTTGCAAGTTGAAAGAATTCCCAATCTTTATGAGGAATCAATCCAATTTAATCTACCTTGACCTATCTAGCAACCAGATTCATGGTAGTATACCCAATTGGATTTGGAGGTTTGATTTTATGGTATTCCTAAATCTTTCAAACAATTTTTTGACTGATTTGGAAGGACCTTTTCAAAATATTAGCACCAATCTGTTTGTAATTGACCTTCATTCCAACCAACTTCAAGGCTCCACTCCCATTTTTTCAAAATACTTGTTGTATTTGGATTTCTCAAGTAATAGATTTAGCTATATAGCCCCATCTGACATTGATAACAAACTTCATTTTGCATTTTTCCTCTCTCTTTCAAACAATAGTTTTCATGGCAAAATTCCAGAATCTTTTTGTACAATTTCAAATCTCCGGGTTCTTGATCTTTCTGACAATGGCTTCAATGATACCATTCCTGAGTGTTTGACAGGAACAATCAGTAGCACTCTCAGAGTACTAAATCTTGCAAGGAACAAACTCAAAGGCCACATTTTGGATACATTTTCAACTTCCTGTGCTTTAAGGTTCCTTGATCTGAATGAAAACTTCTTACGAGGTGTTATCCCAAAATCTTTGGCCAACTGTCAAAAATTACAAGTGTTGAATCTTGGAATCAATCAATTAATTGATAGATTTCCTTGCTTCTTAAAGAACATATCCACCTTAAAAGTCATGATTTTAAGATCAAACAATTTCCATGGCCCACTTGCATGCTCACATAGCACTGGAAATTGGGACACTCTTCAAATTGTTGATCTTGCCTCCAATAAGTTCACTGGTACCCTACCAAGATCACTCTTGCAAAGTTGGAAAGCTCTCATGCTTGATGGTGAAACTGGTTCACAATCCGGTCATTTGTTTTTTGACATCAATGAATACATTAATCCCATGGGTTTTTGGAGTGCATTGTACTCCCTTTTGACCAAAAATCTTGCACTAAAATTAGCCAAAATTATGGAAGCGATGCCACCTTTTCTTATTGATCACTTTTTCTATGATGTCTATTTTCTTGATTTTGGAGGTAGGAGTTACGAAGATTCTGTAACAATTGTCAACAAAGGGAGACAAATGAAGTTGGTAAAGATTCATATTGCCTTCACTTCTTTAGATTTCTCATCCAACCATTTTGAAGGGCCAATACCAGAAGAGCTTATGAGTTTCAAAGCACTTCATGCTCTTAATTTGTCACTCAATGCCTTTTCGAGCCATATCCCTTCATCCATAGGGAATCTGAAGTATCTTGAGTCTTTGGATTTGTCAGCAAACTCTTTCAGTGGGAATATTCCAACAGAACTAGCAAGCTTATCTTTCCTTGAAGTTCTAAACCTTTCCGTCAATCACTTGATAGGACCAATCCCAACTGGCACTCAAATCCAGTCATTTGATGCAGATTCATTTGAAGGCAATGAAGGACTATGTGGACCTCCATTGACACATAATTGCAATTTTGGTGTAGTACCAACATTGTCACCGCCATCATCTGAAACATCTATGTTGAATTCTAAAAGTTCCATTGATTGGAATTTCTTAAGTGCAGAATTGGGATTTATTTTTGGTCTTGGAATTGTGATCTTGCCCCTTATTTTTTGGAAGCAGTGGAGGCTAAAATACTTCAAACATGTGGACTCAATCCTTTGGAAGATCATACCTCAGCTTGATTTTGCATATGAAAACCATGGGGGGAGAATTTACAAAAGTTTAAGGTGGAAACCTTTCTAAATTCACTGAGAACAAAACCAGAGCTCAATTTCTCTTATTTGGTTTTCTTTATTTTAGTTAGAGTATGTGATACTTATCCTGAAGCATATAGGTGTATTGTATTGGTTTAAAGCAAAATGTGGCAATGTAATAAATGCATGGATGTGACCTTCAAGGACATTATCTCATGTTGAGCTAGTTTAATTATAAAAAGAGGGGAAAGTGATACTTTAGTCTCATCACACTTTTGTCCATGAAAATTTTAAAATGATATTTAAGGTATAAGGGCTTCGTTAAAGTGTAAGAAAATGAAATTGATGAAAATGCTCTTAGATGATCAATAATTTCATATATTATAAATATTGCAATTTTCATGGTATAATGCCATCCAAAAAGTGATAAGACAAGGAAATTGAGATGCCTATAACGATAAGGAACAATTGCTAAAAAAAGATCAAGTGGTGAAGATATTTAGTAAAAAGAACCTGGAATTTTCCCATCTGATCTGCAAGTGACATTTAAGTTTCAGCATGTAATCATCCCATTTGACCATTTTTGCTATTTTTTCTTCCAGTGACATTTAAGTTTCTTAATAAAAAAAAATAATCTGCAACTAGTCTTTTATGATTTCTATTTTAACATGATATTTAAGACCGAACTAGTGAATTGGCAAAGCGGCCAAGTAATTGGTCTAGAGAAATAGCAAAAATCTTTTGAAAAACTGAGTTGAAAATGGAGGAGGAGGAAGAAGTCGCATGTGAAAAACAAGATTGCTTTTAAAAACCTAAAGAAATAAGACAAAAGAAATAAGACAAAAGAAAAGGAGCAACGAAGAAGAAGAAGATCAAAGAAAAAAACAAGGCTCATTTCCTTGCTTGAAAAGAATATGAAATGGATTGAAAAAATAAAAATAAAAATACAATGAACAAAATATGGAGAAGAGAAAAGTTAACTATAATTACAAGAGGGTAATTTAATTTATGAAGCTGGGAGTCATGATTATTGAAATTTTTAATAGGTGTGATAATTTCTACATTTAAAATATATTGAATATTTTTATGTTTACCATGAGGGATTGAATAATTGAGTTCAATTTTATTCTTATTTTTTTAGCCCATCCCATTCATATCATTTCAAGCAACCAAACGACTCCTAAATGATTTGTATATTTAAAAAACAATAAATTTATAGTAAATGATAGCTTCAAGTTCAATCATTCAAAAATCTCATCATTAAACCTTGCTAGAGCGTGTCGTTAGGGAATTTGTGTTGGTGAATAATTTCATATGAGTAGAGAAGTACTCATCTTTATTTCATATGTAAATAAATTTTTAATTTATTCATTATATTACATCAGGCAACAAGCCAGCTAGATAACCCGGCCCTTTATTTAATTCAGTTGCTTTCTTCATTTCCTTCTACGATCCGTCATTGTTGCTCTGTGATTATAGCTCGACTGCTTCCTCCAGTTCCCAGATTGATGACACAAATCTGTAGGAAAACAAATCAAATTAAGGTTTCGTTTAGTTGCTAGAAAGGATGAGAATATAATGGATTAAAAAAAATTAAAACAAAAATAAACTAAAACACTATTTTTTTTATTGTAAACATGTTAAAACTCAATAAAATGTGGGAATCATCACAATTTTCAAGAACCTCTAAATCATGACTTTCAACCCTTGAACTAAATTACCCTTCTCTTTTATGAATATAATTAACCTATCCACTTTCACATTTTAATTATCTTATTTTTATCTTTATTTTTTCAATTGGTTCCATTCTCTTCTTTTTCAACGACAAAGTGAGACCTAAGTGACATGAGGAACAATCTCTCCCTCCCTCTCTCTCTCTCTCTATCTCTCCCTCATACACATAAAAAATTATTAACATAATTGATTTTGAATATAATTGATTATGTTACGTGGTATAATTTATTTATAAAATAGAATTGAAAATCAAGTCATTAAAACCATAGTTGTATAAAAATATCTTCAAATACTATATATTACATGTCAAAATTAATTATAAAAAAAATATCCCAATACCCCTAAGGTTCATTTGGATATCCATTGGTGATTATAAAAAAATTGATTAATAGATTGATTATGTTATGTAGTATTGTAAAAATTATAATTTTAAAAAAATATATCCAAACATTAGAGAAAAGGATTTATAGACTGAACTTAGTGGTAGAGGAGGTGGTGATGGTGGTGAGGCAAAGATGAAAGGAGCAGCAGTACAAGTGGCGCTTGCCTTTGTGCAATCTTGTAAACTGATTCCAGCTTTTGTAACACAGATCCGAATCTCAAAGAATTATAGTTTAGCAGACTTGTCTTTCTTGCATGTTATGGCTGCCTTTTTTGTTGTGGCTTCCTCAATTGCTTGCAGTACTTTATCTGCCTCGTACGTCATCGTTCCATCAGGAAGGATATCTATGTATGCATCAAACCCAAAATTTTTATCAAATTATCTATTGATAATGTCCAATATTGGCTTTTGGAAAAATGACAATTAAAGACCCCATAAGGATATTAATGACAATTATAGACCTTCAATTATTGAAATCCTAATAATAAACTATAGTTCTTATACTTACAAATTAAAAATGTGAATAGTTTATTAAAAATCTACTAAATATACTTGTACGAGAACGATGAGTTGTACATATGCCTTTGTTCTATAACCAAGTTTCCAATACTTCAAAACTATAACTTTTAATTTATTACAACACAAATTTATAACAAACTTAATATAAATCTACTTTATCGTTAATTTGGATAGTTCAAATTTAATTTGAAAGGTCCAAATTTAATATTAAATTTTTTTTATAATTTTTATAAAATGACTATCCAGATAATGGTTTAGATTTAAAATTTTTAACTTATAATTTGTTTTTCAAAAATATTTTCTTTGGTAAGTGCCAATTATGAGATTATCTTTATATTTAATATAGGATTTACTGAAATAAAAATATATAAAAATAATTTAATATTAAACTTAGACTGTTTAGAGTACATATGATATGAATTATAGGTAATTAATTTATAAAAATTTTAAAAAATTTTAATATTAAATTGAACTTTCTAGATTAAATATCTACTATCCAAATTAGTGATAAACATATTTATTATTAAAATTTATAATTTTTTAATTTGATAAATATAAAATAAATTTTTTTAAATATGATGGGCAATGAGCACCATGTTGCATCCCCGAGAGTACCCACATGAGCAAGTGTAGAGTTGTAAAGTACCTTTCTTTTTTATCATTTCCAAAATAAGTTTAGAATACTTCTGAGCAGATTGAGTAGCAATTTTAAAGTAATCTTTCGCATTGTATTTTTCCTGACAACAAGTTCCATGCTTCAACCACTGTCTTCCCCACAACTCCTTGCCCTTATCAAAGCTGGACGCATCTTCTAAAGCTGGCCAATATTCCAACAAATCCCCCTTTAAAGCTTTAAGCTACAAAAAAAAACAGACAGAGAGAGAGACATTATGCAAAACGATGATTGAATAGGAAGGGAGTTTCATTATTAGTTATTTGTTAGAACTAAAAATAAAACATATTTTGAAAATAAATAAGATTTGTAATGAAATTACTATATCATCGGTGATGGGATTTTGTGGTGGACAACACGTTTTGTCTCCTCTAGAATTTCTAGATGGCTAGAGCCCATGAATGGTGAAGTATTGTTTTGGCACAACTAGCTGGCAATCTCCATTTTCCCTCTTGCAAAATCCATTTGGCCATCTCAAGATTAGTGAAAAATAATCAAAATTTAGACGAGCTGGCGGCGGCGGAGATGTTGACAGTGCTGGGGAAGGAGGAGTTGCAGGGCAAACCGGTGGAAGAGGAGGCGGCGGAGGTGAAGGTGGTAGGGTTCTGGGAGGAGGTGGCAGGCTTATAGGTGCAGCAATCCTTTGTGGGTCATCAGTTACACTATGGCATGAGCAACAGACCCATGCAATGAACAACACAAGAAGAAATAAGTCATGTTTTGATTTCACGGTGCTCATGTTGGTATTGTTTTAATTAGTTGAGCAATGTAGTAGGGTTTTTATAGCCACTTCTATATTAACACACTCAAGCATGCACGAGAGCTCAGAGAAAAGAGAAGTCTTAAGTCTTTTTGGGTACTAGAAAAGAATGAAATGAAATATATTAAAAAAAGATAAAAATAAGATGATTGAAGGGGATAACTTAGCACATTCATAAGGAAAATGAGTAATTTAGTTCATGAGATTGGGAATCATAATTCATGAGATTTTTTGAAGGTGTGATAATTTCCACGTTTGTAGTATATATTAATGAGTTTTATTATACTTACAATGGGGGGAAGGGTGATTTAATTCATTTTTGTGTTTATTTTTTAATCCATTCCATTCTATTCCTTTCTAGTAACTAAACAAGATCCTAAAGTTTTCTCCTTAATAATATATTAAATATTATTTTCTCTTAAAAACCAAATACTTGTTTGATGCTAAATACTTGTTCATCTCATGTATATTCTTTCCACCAGAGTGTTTTGATCTCTGCTGCAACTGCACGACTTGAATGTGATTAAAATCTGAGGTATCCAGGTCGTATCAGACAATAGAGATAACTATTTTTATTTAAAGAAAGAAATAAAAGTTTTGAAAAGGATTTAATAATTAATAAAGCAAATAAATAAAAATAATAAAAAATGATAAACGAATCGATTAGACAAACGTTAAGGATGAAGATTCAACTATTACAATAGTTTAATTATTTTCCTTTTATTTATAGCAATAATCATTAATAAAGTATTATTTATCCCTCAGTATATTAGGATGTATTTATTCAAGGTTGAATTAGCTCTCACTAATCCTATTGAGACCTTAAATAAACCATGAAGCTATGACCTAAACCATCTCAAATCCTAAATTATCTTTAATATAGTTATCTATATCTACCTTTAATTTAGTTATCTATGACTATCTCTCTAGATCTATAACTCTTCACCTCTCAATTCTTCGAATAGCTCACAAACAGATTAT